GAGCGAAGAGACCTTGTATAGAAGCCCCGGAGGAATTAAAGTGTTATTAGTGGGGTCTTAGTGGGGTCTTAGTGGGCTCTTAGGCAGGTCAGCTAAGTGCCGGCCGGGAACTTACTCGGCTTTCACTAAAAGTAACGCCCTTAAAGGGATGCAACTGTTGCTCTCTTTCCTCTTTTTTCCCTTGGCTTAGATAGGCCAATCTATGCTGTTGGATCACGCAGGGATGCTGAGTGCAGTGATAACTGATTGTTATTATTAACTACTCCTTGTAGTCGAAGGGCCGTTGAGGCCTTATATCTATCTTGATTCTTCTGTGTGGGATATTCTATCCTACAGGTTTTACTTTAAGGCAATTGATATGGGTGCCGCAAGCTTATGGGTGCTGCACTTTTAGTAATTTCTATTGGTTTAAAGACTTGTTGGCCCGTCTGGCTACTCTGCAGAAGGCGGTAAGCCAGTCTGCTCTATCACGCCTTAACAGTTAAGCAGGAGCCAATAGCTTCCCTTGAAATGCATCTAGTTTCCTTTTCGGGAGTCACGACTTTGCTGGGATTCGTTGCCTAAATTCGCTGCAGATAAGCGGTTTAACTTATAATTCTTCTGCTGCGTTATAGTTTAATTATAATAGACTGCTGCTTCTGCCTTTTGGCTGAGTAGAAGGCCTCTTGTTTGGCGGCGAATTCATGGGCACCCAGGCGCGCCACCATGCAACTTCCCAGCGCCTAATTGGTCTAACTAGTACGCATATAGGTGCATTAACAAGTGGGATATAGACCAATGAGAAGCGCAAAAAGTGCGGCACCTATAAGCTTGCGGCACCTATATCAATTGCCTACTTTAAATCACCCAGCTTGATTACTAAGGGCTGTTGTTCTTGAGGATCAATGAGACCATGCCTGGCCTGCGATATATGGTTTTGCTCCTTAAGATCCCTGCGTGAAATAATAGACTTCTTAGTTAAAACAAGCCACTACTGCTAATTATAACCTGACTATCCCATTATGTAAGGAGCGCGCCTGCCGTAGTTAAGTCGTGGATTATTCTACTGTTAAGAAACCCCGAATGGGGCTTTTATATGTATAGACCAGATAAATGCAGAGGAATCATAAACGGCTTAGTATACCTACTGGCCTTTATGGGATTTGTTCTCCTGAGCGTAATAAGCTCTATCTATTTATTTATTATTACTTTACCACTTTCGTGGCAGCTGCTTGAATTTGGCTCTTATAATATGTTTTTCGAATATATGCCTGGATTTACTGGTAAACCCTCTGGGAAGGTGGCTTGCCGCCGATGTAGTGAGCGCCGAAGTACCTAATTTGAGAAGGAGAAGCTAAGCTTTTGTAATAGAGGCACCACCTACTTGCTTAGAGCATAGGGCAGATAAACAGCGCGGGCATCGACTGCAGCTAAAGAATGAGCGATGTTGGGTTAGGACTCTGAAGAATTTAAGCTGTTTGCTGTCTTTAGGTAATCCTGGTGGGCATATCTATCTTTATTTTATAAATAGCAACTAATATTATCTATAAGATAGTAAGCGGAAAGATGTCCTTTGGGATAATATTAAGTTTAGGAAGGGATTTAATGTTTATAATATAGGCAAGCTGGTGGAGAAGGTGATTAAAAAGATTTTATACTAGTCGCAGAGGCAGTCGATAGATGGAATTTAAATCACTTAGGTTCAGTCTCTCACCTCCTACTACTACTAGTTACTACTATATTAATTACCGTTGGTAATAATATCTAATAATAGAAGAAGCTCTGCACTCTTGAGATCCCGAGTTTCTTTTGCTAGCTAGACCTTATTAAAAACTAAAAGGCATTAAATACTAATAGCACCAAAGCCACGATAATATAATAGTTCCTGGCCGCAGTGAATCAGAAATTCAGCTATAACCATGATGCTGATATTCTTATGACTAATGCCTGCTTCAGCTAACAGTTGAAGCACTGCATAAAGCGTCTTTCCTGTGGCAAGTACGTCGCCTATTACTACCACCGATGCGCCCCTAGGAATAAGATCTTGACTCCTCTTAATTCTCTTCCTTCCTACATTATTAGGTTCTGAGCATGAGATATGTGACGAAGGCTTCTTGACAGAAACGGTGGGTAGGGGAAGCTTTCCGCGGATTAGCGCCAAGGGGACGTCGACTTGCTGGGCTAACGCCGATGTATACACGAAGCCTCCCGCTTTGCAACAGGCCACTGCACCGACTTTAACCCAGTCACCTTTGAACCAAGTTCGTAGCAGAGAAGTACACAAAGCCAACCCGCCCTGCCGTTGGGCGATGTTGAGCACATGTTGGAACTTGATGCCTGGGCGTGGGAAGTTAGGCACAGGGACCACTATACTAGCCAGTTGCTCCAGGTCCTTATAGAAGAGGGGAAGCAGGCACTTATTTGCAAAACCTTCTGACCATATCGTCCCTCGTTGCTTTATTATCAAAGATGAGACTGTGGCAGTAATCTAATATTGTTGAATTTGACTTATAATTACTACTATTGCTGCCATGATTGTTATTCTTGTAATCATGGTTATGTCGATTATTATTATTGACTTGGCACTTCCGGCGAACTTGTTGCATCTTTTCACTAGCTGTGATACGAATATTAAGCAATCTGCTATTTGGAACTAAATGCGACAAGGTTGCAGTCGGCGCCTTATCTCTCGTCCCAGTGATTACCAGTACATCCATATCTGCGGCGTTGGATAACATATTTAGGAAGTGCTTCTTGGGCAGTTGAGGTTGTTGGCGCATCTGTTCCTTGAAGAATGCCATTAATGCTGGTCTGTATTGTTCCTTATAAGCGCAATCCCCTAACAGAGCATCCAAGTCTGCGTCGGTAGCTGCTGCGTATTCTCGCTTGGTGGCATTGCTAATGCTGGCCTTGCGTGCCTTGCGGTGTTTGTAGGCATATCTAGTAAACACGGAGACCTAAATATCGGCGTAGTACTGGTAGATAATATCTATAACTTTGATGAGACTGGCTTTATGATGGGCGTTATTGCAAGCGGAATGGTTGTTATAGGTATAGAAAGGCGTGGATGACTAAAATTAGTGCAGCCTGGGGGCCGGGAATGGATTACTGTTATCCAGGCGATTGGGCCATTGCGACGAGCCAAAATGGCTGGACCGATAATGAGATAGGCCTTGAGTGGCTAAAACACTTTAACCGGTGTATAGCTAAGCGATCTAATCGTCGCTATCGTCTGCTGATCCTTGATGGTCACGAAAGCCACCATTTCGCCGATTTTGAGAGATACTGCAAGGATAACAAGATCATTATGCTCTGTATGCCGGCTTATTTGTCTCATATACTCTAGCCACTTGACGTCGGGTACTTTGGAGTGCTTAAAAAGGCATATGGCCGAGAAGTAGAGCATCTGATCTGATGCGCTATAACCTACGTTTCCAAGACCGAGTTCTTTCCGGCTTTTTACGCCGCATTTCAGGCCAGCATGACAGAAAGAAATATCCAGGCAGCATTCAGAGGAGCCGGGATTGTTCCACTTAACCCGGAAAGTGTACTCTCAAAGCTTGATGTGCAGCTACGAACTCCAACGCCGGTTGAGGAGGGGACCGGCCCCTCTACCCCATGGGTTTCAAAGACGCCAAAGACGGTGCTTGAGGCCGGGTCATAGTCTGAGTACCTCGAAGGAAGAACTAGACGTTATCAAAGCAGCTTTCCTGAGTCCATTCTAGGAGCACTGAAGTCTCTTTCTAAGGGAACAAAGGTAATAATGCATGAGAATGCCCTATTGAGAGCTGAGAACCGCGACCTTCAGCAGGTAAATGAGATACTAAGCCGGCGGCGGAGGGCAAAAAGAACCCGACTACAGAAAAGAGGGGTGACGACAGTAGATGAAGGAAGGCAAGCGATTGATCAGATGAATGCTGATGGGCAGGTAGAGGGCGAATCATCGAGAAGTGGTGGTCAAGGAAGGTCAATACAAACGAAGGAAAGGCGTTGTGGAGGATGCAGCAAGACCGGGCATAACGTTAGAACATGTCAGATAGTTGTTGCGATATCTAGGGAAGAGTATAGCGATTTTCTGTATTATTGTGGTGATTTCTATTTTGAATGTTGAGATTTTTTGGGATATATGCTTATCTGGGATATAAGCTTATTATGCATGTTAGTACTTTTAGTGCAGGGCAGAATCCATTATCTACTAATAATTAAAAATTTAGCGAATTAAATCCTGTGAAAGTTATGCTGCTGTAAGGTCATGCCTCTGTATTAAAACCGTCATGCCGCTCTATTAATTCTATTTACATTTTATTGTTCTAGGGTTCTATGTCTAGAAGGACACTAACTTCTGTTTGCCAGATAGTACAGCTAGGCAATGCGGCTATTGAGAGAACAATAAGTAATTTATTAGCTATCTTACGTGAATGTTTGGTGATAGCCCGGTAATCGCTTAGTTCCTTGGCGTAGGCGATCACCTGTCTTCACTTCCTTAGTCCCGTTATTCCATTCCTCACTGCATACATATGTGGTTAGCTGAAAGTTGCCGTGGCGTTCCCGTAGGCTTGGTTGTACTTACTGGTTCGTAACTTATTGGGTCCTAATAATAGGCTAGTGGTATTAGCAATTAGCCCTGTAAATCCAGAGCTAACAATTATCCACTATACCTAAGCTCTCTTGGGAGGGTGCTCTGTTCAGCCTCTATATATGGCGTAACTTGCGATCTTTCTGAATGGTAGTCTTGTTGTGCATTCGTCTCCTTGCTTGATCTAAAAACATATTTTGACTGATTGTTTACTAGCCATATAAACGATACGGAGGTGGTCTGAGATATTCGCGATCCTTAGAACCCCATCCTTGGTGGCAAGGTTTTTAGGACGTGAATACCAGAAGTCGTTGTTGTTTTTGTTATATTTTCCGTCGAAAGCAGAACCACCCGTGCCCTCGAAGCTTGCCAAGCCAGGCTTCTTAGTCTGTTTACATTCCACAGCGGCAGCCACCGGCGACACGGCCGCCATAATAACGCTGGCGTAAGATATCTTCATTTTCCAATGTAGACGTCAAAACTGTAAAAGGATGAAATCGGAGTGCTAGAAAATGCGAATAGCGATAAAATAAAGTTGCATAAAAACAGAGAGGCTTGCAGCATGTCTATGTAATCATGTCTTAAATATAACCCCTGTATTTCTATTATTGGGGTACTTATCGGCAAATGTTTCACAGAAACAAGGATAATAGAAACTTTACTAACTATTTATTAGTTATATAGTGGGATGCAATAAGTTTGAATATCTTTTGAAGTACTGATACCCCCTGTCTAGCCTATTTGGAGTTTAGCCTGCTTCTAATCTGAGGAAGAAACTCGATCTAGCTAATTACTCTATTCTTATTAGCCTTGCAAAAACTGATATGCAAGTGAAAGCTGGCTCGAAGAGGCTAGCGGCAAAAGAAGATATATAACTGGTATTTAAACTTAATGCATCCCACTGTACTAACCCCCTTGAAAATAGGTGTAGAACATAAAAGACTTTTGTTAGGAAAGTTAAAAGATAAAGTGAACATGCGTGAACTAACGTTGTCCTTCACTGACACTGTATGAATGAGTCAGTATGTGCAGGTGTTGAACAGATGCTAGGGTCTTATGTGCAAGCAGGGATATTTTAAGATTATAACCGAAATGGTAAAACCTCTAAGGGGTAGATTTCAACAGAATATAACATGAATATATCAATTCATATCAATGAACCGAATACACGTAATGTCTGACAGCAGGATGCTCTTATTATAAATATGATAACGTTATATCACTTTAGCACTTTAGCACAGTGTGATATCACTTTAGCATATCACAATACGCAAGTCTGGCTCATCTATATATCACTTTAGCACTTTAGCACAGTGTGATATCACTTTAGCATATTATAATACGCAAGTCTGTAGAAGGCCGCCCAGATCGAGGGGCATCTTCTAGATATGAATCTAGAATAACGACCAGTCCGTGATTAGGGTCAACCCCTCTTTCTATCGCATGAGCATAAATACGGTTAACTTGACGCACAGAAAGCCCGGTTATCTCGGCAAATTCGTTAGTGGTTTTGCCGCTGCAGGGCGCCTTGAGGGACACAACGAAGGCACGCGTCGCGATATCGTCAGAAGCGGAAGAGAAATCTGCCGAAGGGGAGGAAAAGGACTATAGTGAGGTTACAGAGGGTTTACAGGGGAAGAAAGGTAGGTAAATCTCTCACCGCGTTTCTTTTGAGTTTTCAGGCTGACTGGGGCCCCTTGTTGCATCTGTTTTGGCAGGACAAAACTTTCCGGCCCTTCCTCCGTAGGTTTGTACCTAAACATCCCTGGAGCCCGTTGGGAGAAGGATTACGGAGGCCTCTGCTAGGAGGGCCCTGTTATGATCCCTAGTGGGCCGCCAGAGGCTAGTCGGCTGTAATCCCCTGGGAGGGTAGTTATGAAATTCCTTCTGTGAAGACTGAAGAAGACAGCCCAAGGAAAAGAGACCTACTACGAAGAGAACGAGAAAGAAAAGATGGAATAGGAAGACATAGAGAAAGACTGAGAGACAGGGATAGGTAAGCAAGCAGCTTGCCTGTGTCTAGGATTACAGCAAGCTCAGCTACTCGTGGGTTTGACTAAAAAGGAACCCCACTCATAGAGTGGGCGGCAAAATTCTGGGACAAGGGCAAAATTCTGGGACA